CTCACAGCTATTTTCTTAGGTTGAACCTTATCAATGACTTTCTTGAGACCCATAGCGAGATATATAATAAAAACTTTTATGCTCAAATGGCCAAAAAACCGACATAAAACTGTAAATCCTTGTGAAGAATTCAGGAGGGATAGTCACTGGGCGGGAGACAATGGTAAACTGAGGGGCGATGATCGCCGTACCACCACGCGCTCGGTCGGCCTGAACGATCAACAAACTCGCGTTCCGAGGTAACCCTCGCCTTCCGAGACACATTTTCCGAGGAAATCCGGCTCGTATTCCGAAAAACTCGCATACAGGGACACTCGTGTTCCGAGGTACCACTGTACAAGAGTTGTTACATTCTTGTACAGCCACTAGTACGCGTAGTGTTTCGGGCAGGTCCCTGGAATACGATCCCCGCCGCGAAGAATCGTTGTTACAACCAAGTACCCATTTTACTGTTGCGTTAAACAGAGGCTACAGTTAAGGATTGACACCCAGTAAATCCTCCCCGGCCAGGATACGAACCCATGACAAAGCGCTTGCGGAACGCCAGGCGAGTGTCTTACCACTACACCACGGAGACTGCTATATATAATTATAATTCATTGTGTCGGTAGACAGGAAGCCAGGGTGTATGTATACACATTTGGCTTTTATCGAGCCCCCCTGTTTATATACCCCCCCCCACTCCCCGCAAGGTGGAATTACTGACCCCACCCAGGATGCAACCCCACAACAAGCTGACTAACTCCTGAGTACCTACTCACTGCTAGGTGAACAGATCATTAGGTGAAAGGAAATGTCCACAACCATTTCTGTCCCGCCCGGGATTCGAGCCCAGAATTCTCGATTGTGCATCCAGAACAAACCCAACTGTACTACCTGGGACCCTTATGTAGAAAACCCTATTATATCCATTTTCTAAACAAAACACAATACAATGTGGTGTCTCTGGGTGCACACTCATACAATGCTGGAAGCGTAGTGTACATAGTGTACAGTACTATATAACTTTTAATTATCACTACTACTATGCCTCTTTAGATTTACCAGAACATTAGCTTTACACAGATTTAATCAGACATAAAATACGGAACAGGTAACATAAGCATCATTCCAAGACAGATAACATATATGGAATTATTTAGTATAGTTAGCAAAAATATTTAAAATTATAAATAATTCTTGTTGACCCAGAGCCTAAATACATAGCATATTTGTAACAAAAGAAAAGAAGTTAAAGCCATTACATTATTATATATTTATAGCATATGAATGAAAGTTAGCAATTTTAAGAGTAAAGGTGATCTAAAATCAAAATGGTAATTTTTTTGTATAAATGCCTTCCAATCTAAAATGACTATCACTATTCAAAAAAGGCTAGCCAATTTGAATTCAGTCCCTTGCAAGGTATTCATTCATTATACAATGGCAGATACTCCTGTACAATATTTTGTTCTTCAAGAAAACTCGCCAGTATTCACCATCTATGCACAGAATGCACCTATAGCAGCTGGAACACTGAATAAAATGACATCACTCTTACACACCTGCAACTACCAAGAATGTTGTTATAGAAACGTTGTCTAATAGTATATGCAGGAAGGTAGACATAATATAGATCTTAATACAGTATAATGTATATATATAAATTTTTAAGCTATTTACAAAAGGGTAATAAAACTGACCAGTCACTGTAAGTTTGGCCACCAACATATTTTGGTTAACATCTCAGTACTATAAACATTGCAATTATCGACTATATTTTGGTTCTATTTTATAGATCAATGAATCCTGTAGGGCTTTCCAAATTTTTTCATTTATTTTTAAATAAATTTTAATACGGATAACTTTCTATGAAGACCAAAGATCAGTGATTCTACTTACGATTGCCCCGACTTACGATAATTTCGAGTTACGATGTAAATTTCATAAAAAAATGTGACTCAACATACGATGGTGTCGTCGACTAACGATATTTGTTGGTACACGTTTGGGTCGACCGAGCGCATGGTTCCCGGTCACGCGGTCCGACCTGCCTCAGTTTACTACAGCTGCCCGCTTAGTGACGATCGCGCCTATAAGAAATTCCGTGTTTGTGGTGATTTTTTGCATTTTGAACATTAAAGTAATTATTATATATCACGCCATGAGTCCCAAGATAATCAATGGTAAGGCTCAACATATGAGATTCCATGTAAGGATGACCATAGAGCAGAAACAAGAGATCATTCGTAAATATGAAGATGGTGTGCGGGTTGTTGAACTAGCTAGGCAGTACAACAAATCTCAGTCAATGATATCCACCATACTGGCTAAGAAAAGACATTATGGGTGCTAAAGTGGTAAAAGGCGTATCAATAATCACGAAACAATGAACACAAACACTTGAAGATGTTGAACAGTTATTATTAATTTGGATACACAACAAGGAGTTAGCGGGATATAGCGTTTCGGAGGCCATCATTTGTGAAAAGGCAAGAAAATTGCATGAAGACCTTTTAAAGAAAACCCCTGGAATGAGTGATGCAGAAGCGAAAGAGTTTAAGGCGAGCAGGGGATGGTTTGAGAAATTTAGAAAAAGAAGTGGAATTCATAGTGTTGTGAGGCATGGGGAGGCTGCCAGCTCAGACAAACCAGCGGCTGAAAGATTCATTGGCGAATTTAAAGATTTTGTGCAGAGTGAGGCATACCAACCACAACAAGTGTTTAATTGTGACAAGACAGGGCTATTCTGGAAAAGATTGCCAAAGAAAACATACATTACCAAGGAGGAGAAGTCATTGCCTGGACACAAGCCTATGAAAGATCGATTTACTCTAGTGTTGTGTGGTAATGAGAGTGGTGATTTGAAAATTAAACCCTTGCTTGTGTATCATTCCAAAAATCAAAGAGTTTTCAAAAAATATAATGTGCAGAAACACAAAATGTGTGTGATGTGGAAGGCTAATGCTAAGGCATGGGTGACTAGGCAATTTTTTACGGAGTGGGTGAATGAAGTGGTGTGCCCTGCCATCAAAAAATATTTGCAGGAGAACAGTTTGCCACTCAAGGCCCTGCTTCTCCTCGATAATGCTCCTGCCCATCCTCCAGGCTTGGAGGATTCATTGATGGAGGAATTTAGTTTTGTTACAATAAAGTTCCTTCCTCCCAACACCTCTCCTCTACTTCAGCCTATGGACCAGAATATCATTGCCAATTTTAAGAAACTTTATGAGAGGGCACTTTTCCGAAGATGTGTCGAAGTGACGGATGCCACAAACCTCACCCTCAAAGAGTTCTGGAAAAACCATTTTAACATTTATAGTGCTTTAAAACTTGTTGACAAAGCCTGGCAAGAAGTGACTGTAAGAACCATGATCTCTGGCTGGAGAAAACTGTGGCCTGAATATGTTGCAGAACGAGACTTTGAGGGGTTTGAGCCTGAACCTTTAGTGCCTCTTGTTGAGGAAATTGTTTCTCTGGGTCAGCAATTGGGTTTGGAGTTGGATGGTGCTGATGTGGAGGAGTTGGTGGAAGAACACAACGAAGAACTGACCACTGAAGAACTCCAAACCCTTCAAAAGGAGCAGCAAGAAGAGGCAGCTGAGGAAATTTCTTCAGGGGAGGATGTGCCAGTACAATTCAATTTCTTTTTTTATTATGCACCCCATACCCATCCCGTGGGCGGTGGTGAAAAGGATTACAGAGGCACATAATCGGTTCAGGAACTGAGCCCTCTAGTTCGTTTAGCTAAGCAAATAACAATGTTTGACGCTAGTTACAAAATTATCAATGTTGTATACACATGTACACACCCTCATACATACATGTACATATATATATAAACGTATACACATATACATACACATACATATCTAATCACCCACACAAATACACACATCAATAATCTTTGTGTCACAAGTGACACAAAGAGGTGTCACAAGTAACACTACAAGAGGCTCACAACAGTCACTATACAAGGCACTTAACATCTATAGTGAGTCACACAGTTACTAGTCTTGCTGCACACCCACCCAACTGGCCGGCAGCTTTACAGTCATGTGCATGCATTACCTACAGTAAGCAAATTTTGGATACTTCGCTAAAATTTCGGGCAGCACATCATTATGAATGAAGTACTTACACATTTCTTGGACACTATTGATGGTGTTATCTCTAAATTCCGCAATTTTTTTGTCACATTCCATTATATAATGACGCAAAGTATGCGAATAGTTCTGCTGACAGAGTTTACATTTAGTCAAATCTACATCAGCAGATGTTACAAACTCCCAGAGGTACTTGTAGCCGAGCCTAAGCCTAAAATGTCTCTTCCTCAACAATTAAGAAAATGTGTGCAGCATGGGAAGAATTGCAAATCTTTGCTGAAACGACGCACCCAAATCAAGCTGCATTAGGCCGTTGCCTTAACCTATTCAATGACACTGTGATGCATCATTACAGACAAATGTTAAAACAAAGGGAAAAACAAATGTCTCTTGACAAATTTGTAGTGAGACAAACAAGCACCGAACCACAACCAGGTCCTAGTGGTATTCAGGCAAAACGTAGGAGAGAGAGTACCCCAGAGAAAACATCACTGCCTGATGTGATAATGGAAGGGGACTCCCCTTCCAAACAGTAACAACTCCCCTTCTCCCCCCTCATCACCATCTTCCATACGCCATCAAGAGCCCTCCATTAAGGCAAGATAAACTTAGGTACCGTATTGTAGTTAGAAAAAAACATTGTATTCGGTATAAAATGTATTTGTATGTTAATATTTTGAAGGGTGGGGAAAAGATTAATTCAATTCCCTTTATTTCTTATGGGAAAAATTGCTTCGACTTACGATCCATCTCTGGGGACGGATTAGCATCGTAAGTTGAGGCCTAACTGTATATCCTTATGCAGAGCCACAATCACAAACCCAAATTATTATCAGCTGCACATTTCATTTTCAAACATAATACGTACAGTAATAATCAATAGCTTTATCTTGTGGAATTTATATAGTTCCTTACCTCTTTGTCTGAAAAACCAAGAGCAAGTTTATGAAGAATGTCATATATAAGTAGAGCATCCACCACTCGAAAGTTGTAGAGGTTGGCTATAACGAGAAGCACGTTGTCCAATTCCTTTGTTCCGATGCTGTCGCCGGGTACCAGCCTTTGCATATCATCATGCCACCTTATAACAAACTCATTCAAGATGTGAGCTCCTACCTGCAAAATAACATTTCTAAATCAAGTACAGTATTGGAGAGATTATGTGCAACATGTATATTATATATAGATTATAGATTATCTATTATAGATTTTTCAAAATAGCTAATACATATGGCTCAAGGTCAAATTTGAAATTGGTGATCCAAAAATTGGCAGCCTCTTGTGGCTGTACCAGATTTTGGGAGCAGTATCAAGAAGTCATTATGATGACACAATTATTATATTAAGTTACAATGGTAAATAATGAAGTCTTTGGATGCAGTGAACTCTTACATTCATCGGGCTGAAATTAGGTTTCAAAAACCTAACCATTGACAAAATATTACAAATCATACTTTTATATATGCTTTTATCAAAATACTGTATACACAAAAGCTTATCCTATATATAGTTTGCATTTATATAAATATAATAATTCATGGTATAAACTATAATAGCAAACTTTGGATGCAGTGGATATCAGATTATAGCAGAAAAGGGGCAATGCAAATTTGTTCATTCAAGCAAAAGTCTAGTGTAATAATATTCGTTACTCCATTTTACATTAATTCTTTTATGTTGCTGAGAATCGGAAACTACCAAAGGCCTAGCTATACTGTATTAGGGAACTGGGATATAAAGAACAGAAAATGTATAATTGCATTAAAAATTAATGCAAAACATGTTTCTTAAATACAATACCAATACATTACTGTATCGGGTAGAGCCTATATGCTGAAACATTATTGAGGTTTTAAATGTTGTAACTTTAAACCAAAAGCATGTACCAGTATATTAAATTCTAAAAATATATAGATTTCTTGTAAATGAAAATTATAAATGCTCTTGTAACTACTATATATTTTAAGAGAACAATAGAAAGTACAAATATGCTGTGCTCGGTGAAAATAAATCAATACTTTAATAGTGGAAAATTACTTAGGCCACAGCATTGATTCGATATATGTTCAAAGCAGAATGAAAAATCAATAACAGCGTAGTCCTAATTTTAGATCGCCTCACCTCAGAACCCACGTTAACAGAGAGTACTGCCACAAGCATAGCATGCTCTTGCACCAGCCTTTCAGGAGTCAGCGATGGTGCCACAAGCGCTTCAAATAATAGGTCTGTCAGCGTGTCACTCATGTCTTTGCGGCTGTACTTGATATACATTCCTTCTATTTGGCTGGCGATCCCGGCCATATTACTTTCCGCCAAACGGTTCAGGAGTCCCTTCAGTGCTTTCTTTATGTTGGCAAGCTGTTCTTTCTTTTTCTCATCAGTGTCGAGAGCCATGAGCTTACGAAGAGCCGGCGGAACATATTTACCATTGCCGCCAGCATCCTTATTTTGATCATGCACTACATTGCCATCCTTGTCTCGCAAACGACCATAAATATCTTCCGTCAAATAAACTTCCTCCTGATGCTGGTCAGTGTCTTTGCTTCCATTATCTCTAAATTCTGCATTACCTTCATCTTCACCATTATCTTCACTAAATTGTGCATCATCTTTACCATTATCTTCACTAAATTGTGCATCATCTTCACCATTATCTTCACTAAATTGTGCCTCATCTTCACCATTATCTTCACTAAATTGTGCATCATCTTCACCATTATCTTCACTAAATTGTGCATCATCTTCACCATTATTTTCACTAAATTTTGCATCATCTTCACCATTATCTTCACTAAATTTTGCATCATTTTCACCATTATCTTCACTAAATTGTGCATCATCTTCACCATTATTTTCACTAAATTTTGCATCATCTTCACTAAATTTTGCATCATCTTCACCATTATCTTCACTAAACTCTACATTATCTTCATCATTATCTTCACTAAATTGTGCATTATCTTCATTATCATCTTCGCTAAATCCTGTAATTATGTCATCTTCATTGAATTCAGCACCAACTTCATCTTTACCAAATTCAGCATTATGTTGATCTTCACCAACATCTTCATCTTCACTAAACTGGCCAGTGCTTAGGGAATCATCATCAGTGTCTTCATGCGAGTCGCTCTTGCACGGGGACGTCATGCGAGATATATTTTCGGAGTGCGTTTTTGGATTTTTCTCACCACGTGCTCTGTTTTCCGAATCGGCTTCCGATTCGGTAACGGCTGGCAAGTTAAATTTCCTTTTCTTCCTTTTGTTACTTGCTGATGGGTTGTCTGGATTATGACTTTTTTGCTTCTCTAATACTGTTTTGATTGGTTTACTCTCAAATTTGTTGACAATAGTGTCTGCCAAACCATTGTCAGGTATACGCTTTTTTATTTTTTTTCTCCTCCGATCCTGGGCACAAATGTCGTCATCCTCATCACTGGACGTCTGCAGAGCTCTTTGCTTTCTCTTTTTTGCTTTTCTGAGTAACTGACTTGTACTAGCAACGGGATAAGAATCTTTGTCCTCAGGAGTGATGGTATTTTCAACCTCACCAATTGTTTTCTTTGTTCTTTTTTTGAGTTTCCTGCTTTTGGTGACCTTTGATTTGTCTTTTTGTGTCCAGAGGATAAGAGACTCATTACCATCTTTACTGATATCACCATCATCAGCACTCACCTCTCCCTTTGTAAGGGAGGAATCACTTAAGTCACATTCTCGATTTTCCTTGCTTGCTGAGCCAGCTTCTGATTCGTCTTCAGTAACCTCTGGTAAAATAAATCGCATTTTCTTTTTGTTTTTCTTTGATTTATTTTTTTTTCTCCCTGGAATAAGACCCACATTTTCATCAACACTTGTAGACTCCTCTCCACTTTTATTAGCACCACTACCATCAATGTTGTCGCTACCACTGTCGTCACTAGCTATAACCATCCCCTTTCTCTTTATGGGCGATGAATCGCTGAATTCACTCGGAAGCTCATCACTCCTGCTACTATACTCCACCTCGTCATCTCCTACCACAAAACCGTCAAGATCTTCATCATCATCACTGTTGCTAGAGTATCTGTCAATGTCATTCTCTTGGCCATTTTTTAAAATCTCAGGTTTACTGTAATAGCCACAGCCTGCCTCAAAGGCCAATTCTGGGTCATCTCTAAAGTCATGAAAAAGTTCCTTGTCACTGTCACTCTCTTCCCTGTCAGATTCTACAGCATCTAGATCCAGAAAACTATCATGTTTTTCCCTTGCAAAACCATCACTATTGTCATTATCACTCATGTCATCTGAAATTGTACCATTTTCTAAATCATCTTCATCACCATCAAAGTCATTTTCATTCTCACTACCTTCATTATCCAATTCTTCTTTCTCGCTTAAATCATCAGAGCTTCTTGCACTATAATATTCACCATTTTCTGAGCCCTCTTCTTCACCATTTTCTGAGCCCTCGTCACCATTTTCTGAGCCCTCTTCTTCACCATTTTCTGAGCCCTCTTCTTCACCATTTTCTAAGCCCTCTTCTTCACCATTTACCGAGTCCTCTTCTTGACCATCCAAGTCATTTTCATCCTCACTACCGTCATTAACTGTTCGCTCGTTTTCACTTAAATCATCTGAGTTTCTTGCACTATCATATTCACCATTTTCCAAGTCATCATCTTCACTATCCAAGTCATCATTATGCTCACGCCCTTCATCAACTGATCCCTCTTTCTTGCTTAAATTGTTTGAGTCATCCATATTATCATTTTCGCCAAAAACTTCATTTTCTTCACTTTTAACTCTATTCTCTATGGCCTGACAATCATTTTTTGAGAGTTCTTTCTGTGCATCTGCTTTTTTACCATTAATTTCCTCTTCCTGTTCCTCTTCATTTTTGCCAAGGACAGTAGCCATATCTTTCTCAAATTCTTCATCACTGTCATAAGTGACATCCTCTTTCTTGTACATGGCAGCATTGTTCATCGTACCTTCCTCGATATCATCCAAGAGGCTTCCAAACTCATCAGCAAATATTGGTGCAACTTTTTTCTTTTGATGAGGTTTCTTGAACCCCAAAAGCTTTGCCATCTTGTTTATTTCCTTCATATCCATTTCTTGATCTTTTCTTAAACTCTTAAGTTTTCGTTTGTCTTTGATTAAGTTTTTCTCTTGAGACTGTGAATGGCCTGCAATTGCTTTAGTACAATCTTCCCTTTCGTTTGTGCTACCACTGTTCGTAATTCCAGCTTCCTGTTTTACGTATTCTTGCAGTAAAGCCATACGGTCACTACTAGACGATGACAATTTTAACCCTTCTGTTTGCTCATTTTCACTTATTGGTAATATTGGCTCATCCTCCTTCTCTTGTCTAACAGTATTGGAGTCCATATTTTGAGCCCTGTTTTTCACTCTTTTTAATTTGCTTGTCTCTGCTCGAGCATATTCTTGTAGTTTCTGAATCTTTGTTTGAAAGTTTCCTTCAGTGGGGAAGATTTTATTACTAAAACGACTAGAAAAAGAAGCTCGGTTAATCTTTTTCTGCTTGCGTTGAAGCTTCCTTAGTCTCTTCCGCTCCTGGATCTTCGTCCGGAACCCAGACGAATGTGGCGTCTTTCCTGTCTGCTTCCGCCTCATCTTTTACACTGTGACACTACGAATACTCCTTCCTCTTTTCTCGCACTCGGGCACACAAGCCAGTCCGGTCTTGTCACGCTCCACATATGCTTTTTTCCTTTTACTTTTTGCCGTTTTGTGACGCTGACCAACAGCTGACGAACATGTGTTTGGAAACACAAGTTTTGTTTGGCTGGAGACGAGCTTAAAATATTATCACTTATAAATAATAAGTAGCTGTCCTTCATACTAACAATAGTATGAAGGAAGGATATATGAATAGATTTATATTATAAAAATATTATAAAATGTTATCATGGCTTTGGTGTTTACGTAAAATAAGATTATACGAATGCAGTGGTCAATTTAATTTAATTATTATACACAAAAGGGTTAGTTATACGCAACAATAGAAAGTCACTATAGCACGTTCTTTGAGTGTTAGATAATAGTATTCTACTAGGTTTTTCTTAACTATTACTAAACAATTTTTTTTATATTTTAATTGATACTTAAACTTTACAAACGCTTTGTATTATTAATTTGAGCTACATGCACGATCTTAAATATTATTAAACAAATTCGTTCGTTATGTTGATCTCTAAACTGGAGGAATCTTTAAGTTTATGGATATAATGAAGTACTTTACTAGAAACTTTGTACACAAAGCAATTCTATTATTTAGGCATGTTCTCTCTCAAGACGCGGATATACTGCTTTTAATTTATTGTAAAAATATTAATTTTTGTTACAATATGCGTTCATACACAATCATATATCAGTATAAACATCTAGACTGATTTATAAAATAACGTAATATATGCCAAAAAGGAATATAGCAACATCCCAAAACAAAAAAATTACTGATAAAATCAATCTACATTAACGAGTATCGCAAAATAAAATATTATCCCAAATAAAGGAAAGCAATATGAGTTTTTCAAGCACAAACTTACGGCAAGAGTGTGCGATATAAATGGAAATAATGGAGTGGTGGAGAAAGGTGGTATCCCGAGCGGGACTGCTCGCCATTGTTGTCACATCTCGCGTCTCCCGGAGCCTGTTTCATCTCGCGGCGGTGAGTATTATGGCAACGCTCCTCGCTCCTCCCTTCAAAACAAACATGTCAGCTTGGCAGGAGATGACGAGGGGTGCTGGAGGCTGTGAGGGAGGCCGAGGGTTGTGGGGCGCGGAGGTGAGGTGAGGGCTGGCTCGACCTTGGGGCAGATAATTCACTCCTTTGGGCCAGTGGTGGAGGGAAATGGTGGTAATGACAGTGGAGGAGGGGTATGGTGGCGGGCATGTCTGACTGGTTGTGGGTGGTGGCGGGCATGTCTGACTGGTTGTGGGTGGTGGCGGGCATGTCTGACTGGTTGTGGGTGGTGGCGGGCATGTCTGACTGGTTGTGGGTGGTGGCGGGCATGTCTGACTGGTTGTGAGTGGTGGCGGGCATGTCTGACTGGTTGTGAGTGGTGGCGGGCATGTCTGACTGGTTGTGAGTGGTGGCGGGCATGTCTGACTGGTTGTGGGTGGTGGCGGGCTTGTCTGACTGGTTGTGAGTGGTGGTGGGCATGTCTGACTGGTTGTGAGTGGTGGCGGGCATGTCTGACTGGTTGTGAGTGGTGGTGGGCATGTCTGACTGGTTGTGAGTGGTGGCGGGCATGTCTGACTGGTTGTGGGTGGTGGCGGGCATGTCTGACTGGTTGTGGGTGGTGGCGGGCATGTCTGACTGGTTGTGAGTGGTGGCGGGCATGTCTGACTGGTTGTGGGTGGTGGCGGGCATGTCTGACTGGTTGTTGGTGGTGGCGGGCATGTCTGACTGGTTGTGGGTGGTGGCGGGCATGTCTGACTGGTTGTTGGTGGTGGCGGGCATGTCTGACTGGTTGTGGGTGGTGGCGGGCATGTCTGACTGGTTGTTGGTGGTGGCGGGCATGTCTGACTGGTTGTGGGTGGTGGCGGGCATGTCTGACTGGTTGTGGGTGGTGGCGGGCATGTCTGACTGGTTGTGGGTGGTGGTGGGCATGTCTGACTGGTTGTGAGTGGTGGCGGGCATGTCTGACTGGTTGTGAGTGGTGGCGGGCATGTCTGACTGGTTGTGAGTGGTGGTGGGCATGTCTGACTGGTTGTTGTTGGTGGCGGGCATGTCTGACTGGTTGTGGGTGGTGGCGGGCATGTCTGACTGGTTGTGGGTGGTGGCGGGCATGTCTGACTGGTTGTTGTTGGTGGCGGGCATGTCTGACTGGTTGTTGTTGGTGGCGGGCATGTCTGACTGGTTGTTGTTGGTGGCGGGCATGTCTGACTGGTTGTTGTTGGTGGCGGGCATGTCTGACTGGTTGTTGTTGGTGGCGGGCATGTCTGACTGGTTGTTGTTGGTGGTGGGCATGTCTGACTGGTTGTGGGTGGTGGTGGGCATGTCTGACTGGTTGTTGTTGGTGGTGTGTATGCCAGACTGGTTGTGGGTGGTGGTGGTGGGCATGTCTGACTGGTTGTGGGTGGTGGCGGGCATGTCTGACTGGTTGTGGGTGGTGGTGGGCATGTCTGACTAGTTGTGGGTGGTGGTGACAGCATGTCTGACTGGCTGTTAGTGGTTGTGGCTGACATGTCTGACTGGTTGTTGGTGGTGGTGGCAGACATGTCTGACTGCTTGTGGATGGTGGTGGCTTACATGTCTGACTGGTTGTGGGTGGTGGCAGCGGGCATGTCTGAGTGGTTGTGGGTGGTGGTGGGGGGCTTATCAAGCTGGTTGTCGGTGGTGGTGGGTGGCATGTCAAACTGGTTATGGGTGGTGGTGGCGGGCATGTTAGGCTGGTTGTAAGTGGTGGTGGCTGGCATGTCAGGCTGGTTGTGAGTGGTGGTGGCAGGCAAGTCAGGTTGGTTGTGGGTGGTAGTGGCAGCCATGTCAGGCTGGTTGTTTGTGGTGGTGGTGGGCATGTCTTGACTGGTTGTGGGTGGTGGTGGCTGCGGGCATGTTTGACTGGTTGTGGGTGGTGGTGGTGGGCATGTCTTGACTAGTTGTGGGTGGTGGTGGACATGCCAGGCTGGTTGTGAGTGAGTGGTTCAATTTATGTACACACAAATGTAGAATAGAACCAGTGAAGAGCAGAGGTGCCATAGGCACAATCAGAGAACACTGTATAAACATCAGAGGTCTGCGGTTGTTCAACGTCCTCCCAGCGAGCATAAGGAATATTGCCGGAACAACCGTGGACATTTTCAAGAGGAAACTAGATTTATTCCTCCAAGGAGTGCCGGACCAACGGGCTGTGGTGGGTATGTGGGCCTGCGGGCCGCTCCAAGCAACAGCCTAGTGGACCAAACTCTCACAAGTCAAGCCTGGCCTCGGGCCGGGCTTGGGGAGTAGAAGAACTCCCAGAACCCCATCAACCAGGTATCAACCAGGTACATTGTACATAAATGTACAATTTACATTTATTGTGTACATACATGGTGGTGGGACAGTTTCCTTAACTTGTATACCATGCAAGGTGATGGAGAAGATCGTGAGGAAAAGGCTCGTAGAGCATCTGGAGGGAAATAACTTTGTAACGCACCACCAACATGGGTTCAGAGATGGTAAATCGTGCCTCACAGGTTTAATAGAATTTTATGACCAGGCAACGAAAATTAGGCAGGAAAGAGAAGGGTGGGCCGACTGCATTTTCCTGGATTGCCAAAAAGCCTTTGACACAGTGCCCCATAAAAGGCTGTTAATAAAGTTGGAGCAACAGGCAGGAGTAAAAGGGAAGGTGCTACAGTGGATAAGGGAGTACTTAAGCAACAGGAAACAGCGAGTAACGGTGAGGGGGGAGACATCAGAGTGGCGAGATGTTACCAGCGGAGTCCCACAGGGCTCAGTACTTGGACCCATCCTGTTTCTAATATATGTGAACGATCTTCCAGAGGGTATAGACTCATTCCTCTCAATGTTTGCTGATGATGCAAAAATTATGAGAAGAATCAAGACGGATGAAGATAGACAGAGACTACAGGATGACCTGGATAAACTGGAGGAATGGTCTAGAAAATGGCTGCTAAAGTTCAACTCAGGAAAGTGTAAGGTGATGAAATTAGGCGAAGGGAGCAGGAGGCTGAACACAAGGTATCATCTGGGAGGGGAAATCCTGCAAGAGTCAAATAGAGAGAAGGATCTGGGGGTTGATATCACACCGAACCTGTCCCCAGAGGCCCACATCAAAAGAATATCATCAGCGGCATATGCTAGACTGGCCAACATAAGAACTGCCTTCAGAAACTTGTGTAAGGAATCTTTCAGAACCCTGTATACCACTTATGTAAGACCAATCCTGGAGTATGCAGCTCCAGCCTGGAGTCCATACCTAGTTAAATACAAGACAAAGTTAGAGAAGATTCAGCGGTATGCCACCAGGCTCGTCCCGGTGTAATGTCCGCTTTACCCTATCGTAATAACCGCGGCCTCTATTGTAATAACCCAATGTTCCCCAGTATTAATCCTGTTATCTTGTGATCTCTCATAATCGTACTATACGCTCTCTGTTGTAATTCTCCGTCTCTCTTCACTCAATACCCCATCTTAACACTGTTACAGTCCAGTATGACCCCTCACTGGACTGCCCCGTATGTAAGAGGAATATTAAATGAGGAAGATACCCCAAGGACAAGGGTTATTAGTTAAAAAAAAATAACAAAACACATTTTCACTGCCACCACCTTCCCGACCAACCTTTTCCTGAATGTGTCTATCACCGATCCCCCAGGAAGGCAAGGAATCAGTAACCATGGGACTCCGGGTAGTATGAATTTCAGTAATAAATTTTGGAAAATTAGTTTGTGTAATTTACATTACTAATTTAAATCCAAGGGCAACTTTAGTATCTATTATAATAATAATAATAATAATAATAATAATAATAATAATAATAATAATATTTATTTAGGTAAAGGTACATACATAAAGAGATTTTACAAAGTTTGTTGGCTTTATAGATAGAGCTAGTACATACAATGCCTAAAGCCACTATTACGCAAAGCGTTTCTCCTATTAATTGTAGGAGAACCTGGGGGCTTCCAATACAACACCTAAAAATGACAAAGTAGCAAAATATATAAAAGGGGAGTTAAGTGAATACCACTGGACAAGCTATACAATTTATTTTATGAAACATGTAAAGTAAGACAATTTGAACACATAACCTATTCTATTCCCCTAGAGGCACAATGGATATTTATTGAGGGCACGAAACTCAAGTGCTACTATACCTTAAAATACCCGCACCACGGCCAAGATGTTGATGGCTGCCCTCCGCCCCTAGGATACGGGCTTGCAGCCCTGTTCCTAATACACTCCCAAGACACACTGATCAAATTTTGTTTTACCAACTTATTGCTGGGAAGGATTACTCCTCCCACCATCTAATACAGCCCCAGGGCTCCACCCATTATTTTGGCAATGGCCAACCATTTAACACGTAGGCCTGAGGTCTGGCTCTCTAGGGCCAATAAGGACTTGGCCCTTATCTCAGGCCAATCACCTTCACTGATCTGCCGTGGAAAGCTACATGAATTCCTGAAGATTGAGTCAGCTCTCCCCAGCTATGAGAAGGGAAACAAGGCGCCTCTATGGAGCCCCAGTGCACCTGCGAGCAATGTTTACCAACTGATAAATTATGTTCACGCCTGTCTCCTCTAAGATAAAGGGTAGGGACATTTGACTCTGCCTCGTATGGGGAAGGGACCGGTGAGAGGGGAAGAGAGGGGATGGAGAGGGAAACATCTGAGTGGGGAAGTTGAGTGGGGGGAAGCCAACGGTATCCAAGACCACCCTCAGGTCAACCTCTTGACCCTGACAAATGGGCGACAGGGGGGGGGGAAGAGGGGGAGACGAATGATGGCCAAGGGGAGGGGAGAAGGAAGGAGGGGAGAGGGAGAAGGAAAGGAGGGGAGAAGGAGAAGGAAAGGAGGGGAGAAGGGAGAACTAATGATCTGAGCCCCAGATCATTACACCGGAACTGAGAGGATTGAGCTACGAGGAAAGGCTAAAGGAGCTGAACCTCACATTCCTGGAAAACAGAAGAGTAAGGGGAGACATGATAACCACCT